GTCAACAAGGTGTTATATTCTTGCATTAGGATTATGTTATCAATCTAGATTGTACTCTATGAGTAAAACGTTTAATCACAAAAAAATTAACGTTGATGAGAAAGTATTTAATAAGGTTATAAGACAAGAGCAAGATGATTATATTAATCAGATGACTTGTCTTCCTAATACTGCAAAGAATGAGGCCCTTTTAGAAAATGTTTTGGTAATGATTGTTTGTATCCTAAGATTCTGGTTGTTATTATTGGGCACCCGGATAAATAAAGATGATTTATTTGATCATAGCACTTATTTGAATTAATATCAATTAATCACAATGATTTACAGAGTGTGGCGACTTAGTGAAGTGGTGAAGTTGTCGCACCTCCAAGTGGCAAGATCAGAGTTCGAATCCCATCGGCAACGAAAATTCGAATTCTCAGTACAGTGTTATGGCAACTGTGAGTGTAAGAGCGGATCGACATCTGTAACTAGGTCACACCAACTTGTACTGGGAGACTGTGGAACAATAGTGTAATGTATGAGTTATATGAAACCCGAGTGAAGCAGTCGTGTAAATCCGAGATCAGTGTACATGGAAGCCCGCTTGGCAAGACCCAAGTAGAGAGGTAGCACAGATCTTTGACAGTACTACGTAAAGAATTATCACCAGGATACCGGAGAACTGAATAGGACCGAAGTGCTTGGCAAGGCACTCCACCAACTAGGCCGCCGGATAAAAAAACTGGAGGAAAAGGACCCAATCGTAGAGACCAAAGGCAGGTCACAGCCCTTTCGGGCCATCTGGATTGGGAGTTTGGAATGACGAGCGTACAGGGGATAGTCTGTATAGTGAGTGCTGGGGTTTGGGTAAACTTTGCAAGGGCACAGAGTAGATAATGGTAGTAGAGATAAAAAAGCCACAAGTACTTGGCCTCGGCCTAGGCGTAAGTTACCAAAAATCTAGGTGATACATGCGTAGGACATGGACCGCTCTAGTAGGTTTACTACGAGGATAAAGGACCCCCCTACATGAAAGTGTGTGTCCGCTTTAAAGTCCTAAGGGGCCTTCCTGGCAGTCCCTCTTTGAGGAAAATATCTGACAGCGCTAAGTTGATCAGAGGGTTTAAATAGATAATCTCCTTAGTTGGGTTATAGGTATAGCATCTAGTGTAGTT